TTTCATACAAACAATTGTGTTCAGTTATTGGACCTTGACTCCATGATCATCCATCTGCTACTCATGGAGTTTGATAGTATGTAAGATTGTTAAGCCATATTGATGGATGCCTGTACACTATCTCTGATTTAAATAATGTAGAAATGATACTTCAACTCTTACCTGAATATTTTGGTTTTTTTAAATTGGATTCCAGAAACAGTTGCAAAGACAAGATCATGAATATTTCAAGTTTGCTTTTCAAACCTGAGTCATAGATGTCGCATTTCAAGTTAAGGTTTGATTATTCTACACTTCATGGCTCTTTAAAATTCCAGTTGCTATAACAACTTTGATATTTCTTTATTATTTTTAGCACATCAGTTGCCATAACAATAAGATACCTCAAAAAATAGCATTTTTCTTTTATAATGGAAAACTTCCTTTCAATTAAAAATGAGTTTAAATTAACCTTTCTTTATTTAATGTAAACCTGTTATTTAAAATGTGATGTTCTCACTACTGTTTCCATACAATTTTGTAGACATTTTTCAAGATATATTTTACAGTTAAATTTTACCATTATGATTTTACTGTACAATATTTGAAGGAAAATTAGGTTTTATGTCCTTTCTGTGAGCTAATATTTAAGATTTCACTGATGCAAAATTCTTTTAAATAATTTAATTTCCATATGAACTTCCATTAAATAAGAAAAACTCTTATATATGAGATTTAAGAAAGCTTGGCATTTTTCTCCTATGTTATTTTGAAATGCACTTCCAATGTTTTAGTCATACTAACAGTGGTGCCATTTCACTTATCCAGAAATAACTGGCAGTCTAGGACTAAACTATGACATTTTACTGGTAGAGAGGTACTTTTATGTAATTTTTGAGAAGAATTTATCATAAGCTTTGTTACAGGTGTTAAGCCTCTAGGAAATTGCAAATAATAAATTGAAAGAGGAAATAGAAGATACTATTTTGTGTTATGCACAGAGTGCCCGAATGGTGGGTGCTGTGTATTACTTTTAGTCCCTAATCACCTGTAGAATGAAACAGATCTGTCTCTATCTCTCCTGTTGCTCCCGCTGTCTCTAACATACACACTCATGGTCCACAGTTGCAAAAGTAAGTTATGTTATGAGGCAGTGTTCGAATTGATGTTAACAGTGATGATCACAAACTGTTTGGCAAATGTTAAATGAACATTCCTTGTAGACAAGTGAATTCACAAGTTCATGGTTATCTTTGGTAATAATTTACACCAAGTTTAAATGTACTATTTCATAATTTTTCCATGTATACATGCACATGATCATACATTTAACATACAAAATGTTTCCCTCACCTTGTTCTTTTATAAAATTCTTGACAGTCAGTTATTGAATTTTTGTTTGTGCTCATATATGCATACATTTGTATATACATGTTCATATGTGTGCACAAAAGCACACTATTGTTTCAACTACTGCTCTGTTATAATTCAACAAAAATTTATTTTATGTTTTAGAACTTCATGTAAAGTGTGCTTTTTGAGGCATGACTTTTCCCTTTAGTGTTAGGTTCATCTGTGGGTTTTTTTTTGTGCTATTTTCATTTTTTTGTTGCTAACTAAAGTTTCTTCATGTATAAACTTGCTGGTAAATGTGTATATTGTTTACAGTTTGGGCTGTTTAGTATATACTACCAAGAACATTTTGTGTGTAAGACTTGATATCTAATGCTTATTTTGTGGATGTGTTTGCAGGTTTTTTGGAATGAGCTGGTAGGTCATAGTGTAGATTTGTTTACTACAATAAGGATTTCCAAAAATGTTTGTTATATTTACTAAATTTGGGCCATTTTATACTACTTCCAATAGTTAGAAATTTCAGTTCTTTACAATCTTACCAAAAATTTTATTGCCATTCTGTTAATTTTATCTACTGTAGTAAATTCATGGGTATATTATTATTGCTTAATTTTAGCTTTGAACTAATTAATGGCTTGATACTAAGCATGTTTCATTCCTGTTCTCTAAAAGTTGTACATATTGATGGTACTATATGGTGTTTTGCGTCATTTATGATTATGTATGATTATGTTGTAATCTAATTCAACCTGAACATATAAATCTCTTGAAAAGTTGGACTTTCTTGGTGGTACCTGAATTATATATTACTTTTTTCTAATTAAAAATAAAATAGTAAGGTACATTTTGGTAATCTGTAGTCAGTTTGCTGGGCAATATCACATCAAAACTTAGTTCTCTCAACTTAGTATTCCTTGACTAACATCTTCCCATCTCCTCATTACTAACATCTTCATTACTAACATCCTCATTACTAACATCTTCCCATCTCCTCATTAATGTTGCCAGTCCATGGTAACCACAATTTTACTATCAGTCTCTATTATTATAATTTTTGATTTTTTTGTATTTTATTAATTTATAGTGTCAGTAACAGTATTGTAGCCACAGTTTACTTTAAAATTCCTTCGTTAGGTGTGTTGTGTGTTTTGTTAGTAACTTCATTCAGTCTTTTGACTTGCTGATTTTCTTTTGGTAAGAAATTCAGAAATTAAAATTTAGCTTATTATTATTATAGTTCAAACTTTGCTTCTGTGCCATGAATAGATTCCTGTAATGCATTTTCTTTTAGAAGTTGTTTATATTTTAAAACTTTATGTTTTGAGATATCATTCAAGCAATTTTTTTTGAGATAAAGGTTTCTTTTTTTTTGTTTGTTTTTTTGAGACAGGGTTTCTCTGTGGCTTTGGGGCCTGTCCTGGAACTAGTTCTGTAGACCAGGCTGGTCTCGAACTCTTCTCTGTAGCATTGAAGCCTGTCCTGGAACTAGCTCTTATAGATCAGGCTGACTTAAAATTCATAGAGAATCATGTGCCTCTGCCTCCCGAGTGCTGGTATTAAAGGCATGCGCCACCACCACCACAAATAAATTTTTATGTGTAGTATGAGGTGACCTTAGTTCATATTTTATCAATGGGTTTCCAAATTTTTTAACTACTATTTACTGAAAAGATCTCTTTAAGCCCAGGCTTGTTTTAGAGATCTTACTGATATTCAACTGACCAATAACTCTGGTCTCAGTTTTTTAGCTTGTACTGTTTTACAGAGCTGTATGAGGCCAGTCTCTTGTACCATGGTTGTAAAGTAGGTCTTGAAATCAGGTTGTGCCAGTCTTCCAATTTTGTTTTCATTTTCTTTTAGAAGATTATTTTACAATAACTATTCAAAATTCTTTGTGTTTATATATAGATTTTATAATCAGAAGTTAGCTAGTTTTACCAAAAAATCTGCCTAGATTTTAATGTGAGTATGCAGTAGATAAACTAGTGGGAATCTGGTCTACTTAATGATAGCAAGTCTTCAAAAGCATAAGTATGGTATATCCTTCCATATCCTTAAACCTTTAGCTTTGTCTTTGTGACATTCTGCAATTCTCAGAATAGAGACATCCAGGTTTTATTAGATGTATCCTTGTGTTCTGTTGTATGGCCTATTGTAAATGGTTTATTGTTTAGTATTTTACTTCCATTTTTTGTTGCATTTCTATAGTAATGATATGCCTCATATTCTGACAAAGTGTATTCATTTCCTTGTAGGTTAGGAGTAATTATTTTTATATTTCTCACACATATAATTATGGCTTTCCTGAATGGCTTTTCATTTTCTTGTTTATTATATTGACTGAAACTTTTAGTACAGGGTGCAGGGAAGTTCATGCTTGTATATTCCATTTTTTTTTCGAGACAGGGTTTCTTTGTAGCTTTGGAGCCTGTCCTGGAACTAGCTCTTGTAGACCAGGCTGGCCTCGAAGTGACAGAGATCTGCCTGCCTCTGCCTCCCGAGTGCTGGGATTAAAGGAGTGCACCACCACCACCCAGCTAGGTCCTTCTTTCTATATGTATAATATTTCCAACTATCATACCCAAAGCCCAAGTGATAAGAATACATAAATGATGACTGGTCTAGAGGTTCTTTGCTAGGCATGATAACATATGGTATGTGTATTAAGATTAGAGAACTGGAAACGGCAGAGTTTCATCTCTTTTTTCTTTTTTTTTCTTTTTTTTTAAATATAATTTTTTTATTGAAAAAAAAAGATTTCCGCCTCCTCCCCGCCTCCCATTTCCCTCCCCGTCTCCCCTTTTCCCCCCCCCCCCCCCCCCCCCCCCCCCCCCCCCCCCCCCCCCCCCCCCCCCCTCCCCCTCCCTCTCCAGTCTGAGGGGCAGTCAGGGTTCCCTGCCCTGTGGAAAGTCCAAAGTCCTCCCCACTCCATCTTGGTCTAGGAAGGTGGACATCCAAACTGGCTAGGCTCCCACAAAGCCAGAACATGAATGTTTGTTGTCTTATCAGTATGTTTGTTTTCCCTTCATGTATGTATGTGTGTCTGTGTCTGTTTCTGTGTGTGTATATACATACACATGCACATATACCTGGTGTTATGGAGCACAGAGGAGGATGTCTGATCCATTGGAACTGGGGTTACATATGGTTCTAACCAGCCATTTGGTGCTGAGTATGGAACCCCATTCCTCTGCAAAAGTCGTAAGTGCTCTTAACCACTGAATATTGTCTCTAGCTCTTAGAATTTAAACTCTTTAAATGCAAGCTTTTTGTTTTTTTTTAACTTTTTGCATTTAATTGTACTTTTATTAAATGTTTGTTGTGGATTGTGGTGTATATGTCAATAACAACAGGTAGGCTTACAGGCATTTTTTCCTCTATTTCCCTGATGATAGCATGTCACAGAACTGTAGTACAATATCACACCCACAATGGTACCAGCTGCACCAGTCAAAACACAGAATGGTTCTATCATTCCAATATCACTAGTGTTTGTCCTTAAAGGCCACCTCAATCTCCCTTATTTTCCAGGTCTAAAGGTCAAGTTTTAATGATTTTTCTCAAACATTGGTATAGAGTTGGATTTAAATAGATGTATAAATTACTAATACTTATCTAGTATTTGAATATATGAATAGATCAACTTTTCTCTGTTGCAATTTGGTCATATTTTTTACTTCTTCCTAGAAGTCTTTGTTATACAAGGGATTGTAATGAAATTGATCTATTTTCATCTTACAGAAACTGCATTTTTCTGTTGTACTAATTGTCTCACATAAAAGTTAATGATGTTAGACATATGTTTGTTAAACTGCTATATAATGCCCAGCAGTCTAATACCAGCACTTTAGATATGATGAACAAAGCAAATATTTGCTCCCTCCTGTGCGACTTCAGCTTGGTCAAGAAAAAATGAATAAAATAAATAATTACAATGATGATAAGTATAGAATATGGTACTCTGTGGGAACTCAGAGAAGGTTTCCTTTGGGAAGAAGTTCTTGGAGTAAGGTGGAAAGATTGAATGAGGGAAGTGGTCGGATATTCAGCGACTGGTGTGAATACTCTGAGGCAGAAGGGAACTCAGTGAGTTTATGTGGGTTTGGGTTGTATAGTGACAAGGTGTGGGGAGTTTGTGTAACCTGGATAATTTACAAGGAAAATGAGATTAGACAGTTAAATGGAGACCAGCTTTTATAGGACCTTTTATAAAATGCAGATTAAACTAAAGTATTTTAAGGAAGGAAGTGCCATGTTTTGTTTGAATTTTGGAAAAGATACTCATTTTTGTGCATAACAGATTGAAGAGAAGCCACGATCAACACAGACCGGATTGGAAGCCACTGCAATCGTCTAATTTAAAAGTGATGCTGGTTTTCCTACGGTCATGATAGTGGAGACAGAGAAATGGAATAGTTGAGGAATTAAAGTCTGAATCCACACACTATTTGCTTCCTTTAAAATATCTTAAGAAATGACATTTAATTTATCTTCTCCAGTTCTTTGTAATGTTACTATACTGCTCATGTGGTTTTTTGGAAGTCACCGTTTGTTATTTATCCTACTTGGCATTAATAGCTAATTTCTGCCTTTACTGTTATATTTCTCTTGCTGTGATAAGACACTATGACCAAAGCAACTATAGAAGAATGGGGTGGGTGTAGTTTCAGAGAATGAGTCCAAGACCATGATGGTGAGGAGCATGGAAGCAGGTAGGCAGACATGGTAATAGATCAGTAACTCAGAGCTTGCATCTTGATCTACAGTTACAAGACAAAGAGAGCTAACTGGGAGTGGGGTGGGCTTTTGAAACATCAAAGCCTGGCCCCAGTGACACACCTCTTCCAACAAGACCACACCTCTTAATTATTCCTAAACAGTTCTACCAACTGTTGACCAAGTATTCAAATATATGAGCCTATGGGGACTATTCTCATTTAAACTATCACAGTTACTTTGTTGTCTAGGACATTGTTTGGATTTTTAATAATGAAACAGCATATATAAAATAAAATATAGGATAAGCTAAATAATATGTAAATACAAAATGGTGTTTCTTCTAATAAATTAGTTTGGGCTTTTAGGAAGTAAGTATAAAGTAAGCTTAACTAAAGATATTTCTGAGATGATTCCTGGTTAACACTTGTCATTGAAAGGAGAGGGAAGTAGTTGGTAGTGATGATGATGAATAGCAGGGACACCAGACCTCTAAAATGAGAAGACTGGCTCTTGAATTAAAAAGAAAAAATGGCATATGTGATGTGCTATGTAATTATATGTAACTGCTCTTTTGTTATTGAAGTTCCACATTCTAAGTTATTTCCTGTAATTACCACACCAGAAAATATGATACAAAAAAATTCAGGGGCTAGTGAGTCAGTTATTATAAAGGAGAGTACGCCTTACTAGAACTTCTAACACTTTTTTTTTTAAGTTAGTTGGAGGAAGGATGGAGGCTTAGTGGGTTAAAAGCACTGCTTTCTGGACTCTCTTTTCCACCATCACCTTTTATCTTGGAGCCTATGCAACCATGGATTGCTTACAATACTTTTAGAATAAAACCCTTCCTAGTGTTATGTTTTGGAAATATAAGAAACTAAAGCAATCTAGCACTTTAATTTGTATAAAAGATTTTTTTTGTTTTCTCTCTCTCTCTCTCTCTCTCTCTCTCTCTCTCTCTCTCTCTCTCTCTCTCTCTCTCTCTCTCAACAGGATTTCTCCTTTTAACAGCCCTAGCTGTCTTGGAGCTAGCTCCTGTAGGCCAGGCTGACCTCGAACCCACGGAGATCTGCCTGCCTCTGCCTCCAGAGTGCTGGGATTAAAGCTTGCACCTTTGCTCACCATTTTCGTAATTTTAGGGATACTATAATTCAAAACTATTTTGAAATGTGTCTTTTTAAAAAAGATTTAAATTTTATTAACTTGAGTATTAATAATATTAACTAAGAACACACTTTTTTTTAAAAAAAGACCTTTTAGATTTACTAATTTAATTTTATGCATTTGTGCTTTAGTGTATATGCAGTTTGCACTTGTATATTTAGGAGTCTGTTCAGATCAAAAGATGCCATCAAATTTCCCAGAACTGGAGTTTGAGTTTGTGGTGGTTGCAAACGGCCACGTGGGTGCTGGGAGCCAAAGCCAGGTCTTCTACAAGAGCCATAAGCTCTCTTAATTGCTGAGGTATCTCTCTAGCCACTAGCACTTGGCCTTTTAAAATTGTTTTGTAGTAAAGCTTAATATTTTACTTTTCTTAGTGTGGAATGGATAACATGTCTACATCCATAAATATTTATCAAATGTAATTTTATTTTGAATATTTATTGTTGTAATTAAGAGTATTCTCATCTTTCCAAGCATGGTGGCACATTCTTTAAATTCCATCAGGGAGGCAGATGCAGCTGGCTCCCTGGGTTCGAGGCCAGCCTGGTCTACAGCAAGAATTCCAGGACAGCCAGGGTTACACAGGGAAAATCTGTCTCATTCTTGTGCTGCCTTGTTTAAATGGTTTTAGGTATCTGTGTAAATCCAATATTTCTCTGTAAAAAAATACATTGTAACTTGCAATATACTTAAATTTTAACTTTACAAAACTGAGTGTATTTACTCTAAGATTTACTTTTCTAATTTGTCTCATAAATATTTCTGTTGAAAGGTGTACTTATCTTTCTGTATTTGACCACCCATGATTTTTAAAAATAACACGGTCTTCTAAAATAAAAAACCCAAACAAACAAAAACTAAAAACAGTTCAACATGGGGAACAGAGTAGGCTATCTATCCTTTTTAAGTCATTTTTATAAAACATGAAGAGATTTTCTAAATGACAGACATTAGAAGAAAGAAGAGAATGGGATTTAGTGGTTCGGTGTTAGGAATGATAGTTTTGACTATTTTTAGTCCCAGTTTCTTACCTCTGTAGTTGTAGTCAAACCATGTTTTCCTTCAGTAGTCCCCACTTTGTTTATTTGGGAAGTAGTTATTATAGTGATTACGTAGATATCTGAGCTTTAAAAATAGTTTGATATATATATATATCAAATATATATATATATATATTGAAAGAGGGAGAATTAGGGAGAGAAAGAAAGAAGGGATCAAGGCAAAGGGTGAAGGAGTGTAATAGTATCAAAGAGTCCCACAATCACCCAGGATGGAGTATAACAAAAGTGTATTTATTTGAAGATAAACTCACTGTAAGAGTATCCATCTGCAGTCCTCTGTATGCACTGGGATCTGGAACCAAATCCAGCAGGAAAGGGTGGCCTCACACACTTTGCATCTGCACTTATAGTCCATGAGACCATGCCCAAAGTGGGCCAGTATCTTAAAAGCTACTGGCTGAAGGAGTTCCCACAACAAAGGAGAAAAAGGGGAGGGAAGGCAGGAGAGGGGAGTAGATCAAGTTAGTGTGTGTGAGCATACTTGTGCTCATGTGAGAATCAGAGGAAAACTTGTGAATTTCTCTTCTGTCCTTCCTCAGTGTCATGGATGTTTATTAAACTTGGGTTGTCAGGGTTGTTGGTGACAAATGTCTTTTATCTGCTGAGCCATTTCAGTTCTGAGATTTAAGAATTTTATGAAGAAAAAAGAGTATAAAAGCACATAGCACATTTTCTGGCATATAGGGCATGTTTTCAATATGTATTACTTTCCATTGCATTTTTATTTTCCTAATTTGCTTTAATTCTGTGACAATTGTAAATTTTTTTCTGGTAGGGTTTTCTTTTGATGTAATAAAGTATGAGAAATAAGTTTAAAATAAATGAATGACTGCATGTAGTAAGTAAACCTAGATACAAATGTTTTAATATGCACCAAATACTTGAGCAATTTTTTTGCTTCTGCTAACTTATATATGTAATATATGTAGTTCAAGCACTGTGTGATATTAATTTCTTTACCTCTTGACATATTTGATATAGACAGATAACCATGGACTAAGTGCTTCTATTTATTCTGATGTCCCTTGTCCTCTTAGATCATATTGACCCAGGTATTTCTCCAGACAGGTTTCACTGTCACAGTTCTTTCCTGGTGTTTTGTTGTGCAGGTCAGTGCCAAATTCAGCATATTCATGTGTGGGGGGCATGTACTGGAGAGATGAGTAAATGACTTTTAATTTTTATTTAAAATATGATAATTTACCTTATAGTAAAAAGTAGTTGTATTAATTTAATTCATGAGGACTTAAATGATTTTTAATAATTCATAAGTTTTATTTTCAGCCAAAGAGTATTAGGTTACTGCTGACTTTTTAGTGTCATAGTACCTTGTGGTACTTTCTCTACAAGGTTTAAAAGTATATGCCAGTTTTGTTTCCCTAGCACTATACATAAGAAATAATTTCTACAAATGCTGTAAAAAGAATGCCTTCAGAAGCCATTAAATGCTGTTTACATCTTAAAAGGATTGGTCAGTTTCATTGTCTTCTTTGTCAATCTTGATCGGAGCTCACAGACTAAGTCTATAAGCCTGCATGTGCCTGGCAACTGTTACCTAGTGACAGTTTCAGCTGCAGTAGCCATTGGCTGTGCTGATTGGGGCAGGAGGACCGAGTCACCTTTCTGATGGTGAGTTCTTCTGCATCAGCTCTGGATAAGGAGGAGGAGCAGACTCTGGCTCAGGTGGAAGCAGTGAGACCGAGAAACTGTAAAGACTCTCCCGGCAGCATCTTGATAACTGCATCACAGTAAATCGGACTTCTGAATCAAGCAGCCCTGCTACACAGCTGATATGAGTGAATTCGCATGAGAAGCAGTACCTTATTCCTGTAACAAGAGAACTATTTTGTGATAAGTGAAACTCAGCATGTCCAAGGAGGAGTATTCTGTGGCTGACATAAAAGAAGGACTTCCCTGAATGGTGTGTTGCTGCACAAGAAAATAACTTTGAGAAGAATGCTTTCTATTAAGCTGCTACATTGTTCCTTAAGGAAATGTTTTCATTTCTAGCGCATGCTATTTCTTGAAAAGCTATGCCAACAAAGAGTGACAAGAGACTCCCTGAATTGCTTGTACTTGGGGGAAAGACTTTGGCAAATGTTAACCCGGTGCCAGAATGACCTTGGAAGCCTTTTGGATGGATTCTGCCCTGCCAGAATCTAAGTATGTCAAAGCCCAGGATTTAAACACATCTTGATGTGTTTTGATATTTTAAAACAAAGACTTTTTCCCAGCCTACCTGATGGTCCTCCTTTAATTGAGTTTTTGCTTAAAATAGAATACAGAAACAGAAGAGGCATTTTCTTAACACATGGCTGCTAATAACTGCAAATATAATAAAACAAGGTAAATTTCTACTTTCAAATATTTAGTGAAGTAATGATTTAATGTGTTAATCATCTAATGGAAATAGGAAAACTGTAACAAATTGGAATATGAAACCTACTAGAAAGACTTAATTAACAGACATTAGCAGCATCTTTAGTGAAATGTGCTCAGTGTTTAGGGACATTTCTATTTCTGTCTAAATTTCATCTACATTTATGATATATGTGTATTGTTGAATATGTGAGGAATTACTTCGAGCTATGTGTTTTATTATGCTTCTTTACAAGGACATATCCTATCAAATAATGAAAGTTATTTTTAGTTATAGAAGCTGAAGTTAATAACAAAGATTTATTTTGAAATAGAAGAGATATAAATTGCATTGCTGTCAGCATATCAGCAATTGTGGTGGTCTAATGCTAATTTCATATAAATGTTCAAAGAATGAATAGAGAATTAGGACTTTAGACGTTTATTCTGCTTTTAGTTTTAGGTGTTGTTACACTAACTCATTGTGTAATATCTTCTCTACTGAAAATTATCTTTTATTTTCATAAGCTTTATATAGCAATCTGGAACCTGATTTTTATCCCTGTGTACCTCATTGTGTCCATACAAATGGTTATTTTGTAATTAGCCTTTATAGAATTATTGTTCTTACCTTTTAAAAAATGAAAGAAAAATGGTTCCTAAAGTCTTTCCATCAGTATTAGATGTGAACTGAGGCCGAGAACACTTTTTATCATGTGAACTTTTTCTTGGATTTTCATCTAAAACTAAGATCTTAATTATTTGAATTCTAAAATATGAATACATTTTTATCGTAGTTCATCACAGTTGAAGCAGGAGACCTTAGGCAGTTTAAGACTGTTTCTTTTATTTTTCTTTCTAGCTGATCTCTAAAAAACTGTATCTTGAGAGAAACATTTCTTCCCTTGACAATGTTGTTTTTTTATTTTTTATTTTTTTACAGATTTATATTTCATAGCACTAGTTAATAAATCCAGTTTCTCTAGAAGTGCCTATATGTCCAAAAGTTGCTTGAAAGCACCGGAAGGAGCTAACAAGAGACCTCTTTTCACCTTTCTAGCTCATCCTCCTCCTTTATCCCCCAAAGCTGAGATGTGTCACTGGTGAACTAAGGCTGATGAAGAGCCCTGAGCACACTGTGAGATGCTCAGCTGTAATACAGGCATTGGCACTTTCTACTTACTGAAGCAGGTTCTCAGACACTGATTTGCAGTGTGTCTGGCACGGGCACCTGCTTGCTGCAGCCAAAGCTACAAATTTTCCTAATTCCAAGCCATGAATGAATCCAAGTGGACTGAATGGAGGATCCTGAACATGAGCAGTGGCATTGTGAATATGTCCGAGCATCATTCCTGCCCACTTGGATTTGGTCACTACAGTGTGGAGGATGTTTGCATCTTTGAGACAGTTGTTATTGTCTTGCTGACATTTCTAATCATCGCTGGGAATTTAACAGTCATCTTTGTCTTTCATTGTGCTCCACTGTTACATCATTATACTACCAGCTATTTCATACAGACAATGGCATATGCTGACCTCTTCGTTGGAGTTACCTGCTTGGTTCCTACTCTGTCTCTTCTACATTACTCTACAGGTGTCCACGAGTCATTGACTTGCCAGGTGTTTGGATATATTATCTCAGTTCTAAAAAGTGTTTCTATGGCCTGTCTTGCTTGCATCAGTGTGGATCGCTATCTTGCAATAACCAAGCCTCTTTCCTACAATCAATTGGTCACCCCTTGTCGCCTGAGAGTTTGCATTATTATGATTTGGATTTATTCCTGCCTAATTTTTTTGCCTTCTTTTTTTGGCTGGGGCAAACCTGGTTACCACGGTGACATTTTTGAATGGTGTGCCACATCTTGGCTCACCAGTGCCTATTTTACATGCTTTATTGTCTGTTTACTTTATGCTCCTGCTGCCTTGGTTGTCTGCTTCACTTACTTTCACATTTTCAAAATTTGCCGGCAGCACACCAAAGAGATAAATGACCGGAGGGCCCGATTCCCTCGTCACGAGGTAGATGCCTCTAGAGAGGCAGGACACAGCCCGGATCGTCGCTATGCCATGGTTTTATTTAGGATAACCAGTGTATTTTACATGCTATGGCTTCCATATATTATTTACTTTCTTCTAGAAAGTTCTCGTGTCTTGGACAATCCGACACTGTCCTTCTTAACCACTTGGCTTGCTATAAGCAATAGTTTTTGTAACTGTGTAATATACAGCCTCTCCAACAGTGTTTTCCGCCTTGGCCTCCGAAGACTTTCTGAAACAATGTGCACATCTTGTGTGTGTGTGAAGGATCAGGAAGCACAGGATCCCAAGCCCAGGAGACGGGCAAATTCCTGTTCCATTTGAAAAGAACTGCACAGTAAATCAAATGTAATGTGACTGTGGTTTTGGATTGTATTCTTGATTTATTTGGAAATTTGCCCTAGAGAAATGTTTATGTGAATAGTTGACTATGAAGTGAGGAATGACATTAAAGATCTCTTTTATTTCCTTTTGTACAAGAGCAAAAGGAAAGGATGTATGGAGAATAATCTCGTAAGAGAATTACAGCTTGTGAATATGTGTTCAGTGTTTGATTCTCATCACTGAGGATCGGAGAGGTACTTCAAATCTGCAAAATGAGAGCTTCTTAGCATCTCTTTTTTTTACATTCTCTCTGCCTATGTCTGTCTTTTCTTTAGACTTATTCTGTGTTTTTACTCCTTGTACTTGTAGTTGTTCATTATTTACTAACCTGTCCTTCATGAAAAGTGCAAGTACTACATATATGAGACCAAGTATAACCTTTCCATCATAGCACTGAGACATGCAGTCTACATCAGTTGTGTTGTGTTTAGGGAGGGTACACAGTAAGTGTTACGTTTTATTATTTTTCATACCACACGTGTTTATGTTCTTGTCATCTTCTTCACAGCACAGATTCTCCACTACAAACAGAAAGGAACAATATCTTTTTTTTCTTCTGTAAAAGGACTTTTGGTTTCTTTTCCTTTCCCCAACACCTGCAATTGCCAAATCAATATTTGATTCCTCTGAAACAAACTCTGTAAGTGTCTTAGCTGATGAACGAATCCTCTATATAAGGGAGTCAAGGTGTTAAATAAGGTATTTTTTTCTAACAAAGAAATCTAGTAGTTAAGAGATTGTGTTTAATACTTTGATGGATTTTGGAAACATTTCATCTGCTTTCTTTGAAGATTTTTCATGTGCCTAAAGTTTTTTTTTTGCTATAGTAAGGTTTTTATATTTTCTCTATAAAGCCCAGAATATTCCTAACGCAGATGCAGAATACCCACCTGTGATGAATATCACTCTTTGTGCTACTCATAAAGCCCTTTAGAAAAAGTTAAACACTAAGATTGCGTATTAGGTTTGCAACAACTTATTTCACGACCACTACTCATTTTTATGGTATGTAGTTGCATAGTCCATATTTTTTTTACAAAAGTATAAATTATATTATGTGGCTTGTGCCTAATGTTTTCATATATATATATATGTTGTTTAAGTTGTCACCACTGGAACCATATGTATGGACTTATTTTGAAAGGAAAATACTTTTTTTTTTTTAGGAAAATACTTTCGTGTAGTTGTTTAGATATTTAGAGTAGAGGAAGCTGCCTTCTTAGTGCTGCTGGTGATGCAGTATACTTACGAAAAGCAGTTTAGATTTGTTTTATAATGGTCTGTTTTCAAATGTGGAGATTAACTAATTTTGTAATGGGCTACTTGAGAGTAAATAATAAGTTGTTGGGAGTTTAGGTTTTGCCATAATAAAGTAGATGTGAGCAGAGCAGCTTATATTTTTATCCTATGTTCTTGCTAGAAAAGTTTTAAAAATTTCTATGACACTGCTGAGAATTTTTCTTCTTAGCACTTAAGATGTTTTTTTTAATTTGTCTTATGAAAAACATTTATTGAAGCGTGCCTATGACTCTAACATAGATGCCAACCATGTCTGCACACTGGTGTTTTGACTTTAAAAGTCTGTTAAAGAAATGTTGTCACTTTATTGAGGTTGTTCTTAACCCCTGTATATTTTTAAATATGTAAGAAATGTTTAAAATAAAAATAAAATAGTATTCTATATATTAAAACAAGACTTTGTATCAGTTTACTAAAACACCAGGAACAAGAGTTATTTGTTGGGAGATTAGAATCGGATTGTTCTATACTTCTATTTCTGGGATTTGTGTAGACTCTTGTTTCCTGTTTATCAGTAGTATCTTAGATGAATTGAACTATACCTTTTAAAATAGTATTTCTTACTCTTCAAATATGAGAAATAAATTCTCCAATATTATGCATATATTACAGGAATCCATTTTTGGTTTGTTTAATTTAGCATAGTTTAGAGGGGTTGAAAAGATGGCTCAGTGGTTGAGAGCACTTACCATTCTTACAGAGACTTGACTTCCATTCCTAGCACCCAATGGGGGCAGTGTAATACAACTCTGGTGGATCCAGTACCCTCTTCAGTCCTCTGCAGACAACCACAGTCATCTGTACACACCCCTTCAGACATACATACACAATAAGAAATCAATGTTTATATAAATTTAGAGGTTTGGACAGAAATCTTGGAGATATTCCCTCTCCTAACATTTCCTTGTAACGTTAAGCAGTTTTGTGCTAGGCTCAGTGTTAGGTTTTATGTGTATTATAATATTTAATCCTCTCTATAGCCCTTGCTCAAATCACAGCTAATTTCAGTCTAGAGCTGAGGAAAAATGACTCACTCACGATTGCTCATCCAATTATGGAGCCTTCTGCACACTTATCTGGCCTGATGTCAAAGCCTGTGTCCTCTGCCAGCGTACTACACAGTTGTCTACACCTGGCTTAGTAAAAAGGCTGAATTACAGTCTGCATTGCTGTTTAGATAAGCTCTCAGACCTCTGCATCTCTCACTGTGCCCTTTACTTCAATTTTTTTCTGGGCATCATTTATTTTTCAGTGCTGTCTTTTGCCTCAGTTTTTTTTCCCTGTGGACTGTCATTTTCTTTGATATCATATACTTCTTTTATTAAAACCTCAGCCTGTTAATTTCAACCTTACCAACGTATTTTGTAATCAAACTAGAATTCTGGGGACATACTAACTCCTTGATTTTTGATCATTTGTGATAAATTTTCCTTGAATAGCTTTTTCAAAGCTCTTTGAACTTTTTTGAAGGGCAAGGGTGAACAAGGACTTTCTTTTAATAAAGGAGATACTATCTTGCAGCAGAAATCCCGTTCCTCTGGCTCTTGAAATCCTCTGCTTCTTCTCCCAAGACATCTCAATCTTCCTTGTAGGGATTGTGTTTCACAGGGCTCAGTTAGAGGCTCCTCATATTCAGCTGTTCTCTGATTTTTGACTAGTTGTGACTCTACAATGTTGTCCATCTGCCACAAAAAGAAACGTTTTTGATGAGATGTGAGAGTTTCAATTATCTGTGGATATAAGGGCCTGGGAGTAGGTGGGGAGGAATGAGAGTATAAATATAATTAAAGTATGTTGTAGTATTCTTATGTATTTCCTCCAGGACTCACTGGGACCACAGATCTCAGGGCTGCACCATCAGCTACATCAGCCAACTCTTCAATTCTGCTCTTGGTTCTGGGGAGGAATCCATATAGTCCCTTGACCTTTTGAAAATGTTTGTATGTATGCCTACAGGTGTTCATGTGTGCATATGATAACATGTGTCCATATGATTATGTGGAGACCAGGGGTTGACATAGTATGTCTTCCTCAATTGCTTTCTTTTCCTTTTCTTTTTTTTATTTTTCTTTTTTTTGGTTTTTCAAGACAGGGTTTCTCTGTAGCTTTGGAGCCTGTCCTGGAATTAGCTCTTGTAGACCAGGCTGGCCTCAAACTGACAGAGATCCGCTTGCCTCTGCCTACCGAGTGCTGGGATTAAAGGTGTGCGCCACCACCACCTGGCCTCAATTGCTTTCTTTCTTTCTTTTTTTTTTTTCTTTTTGGTTTTTGAGACAGGGTTTCTCTATAGCTTTGAAGCTTGTCCTGGAACTAGAACCTTAGGCCAGTCTGGCCTCGAACTCACTTAGATTCATCTGCCTCTGCCTCCCAAGTGCTGGGATTAAAGGCGTGTGCCACCACTGCCCAGCCCTCAATTGCTTTCTATCTTACTTGATTTTTTTTCATTTATTTAATTGTGTTTGTGTCTGCACATGCATGTCCCCAAACACATATGCACCATGGTACACATGTGTAGGTCAGAAAACAACTTGTGAGAGTCAATTCTGCCTTTCTGCTCTGTGGGTTCTAACAATTATCAGGCTTGGCAGAAAGTGCCTTTACCCAGTGAATCATCTTGCTAGCAATCTACCCTGTTTTTTGAGATGGGGTCTCTTATTGAATCTGGCTAGATTTTCAGGCCAGCAAGCTCTAAGGACCCTCCTATCTCTGCCTTCCCAGTGCTGGGATTACAGGTATACCCTTATACCTACCTGGCTTGTATGTGGATGAGGGGCAACTAACTGTACTTGGATTTTCATGCTTGTGCAGCAAGCACTTCAGAAACTCAACTCTCTCTCCAGCTCTTTAACTGATGTTGGTGGGCTTCCTGGTTGACAAGACAGGAGGGTGATTACCTGCTGTCTGCCTCTTAAACCATTTTGTCCTTAACTTTTCTTTGGGACCTGGCTAAAGACCAGACACACTAAATATACATAGTATAGTACATTTTCTAAAACGGTGTTTGCCTCAGAGCCTCAGAAACAGAAATTTTATCAGGGGACAGAGAATTTCAACTCTTTCTGTTTGAAAACTGTACATTACTGAATTTTTAAAAAATGTTTTTTTCATTTTCTTTTAAAAATAATGTTCTCAAAGAATTATAAAAATATATTAAAACGTTTGTCATATAGTGAAAGGGACTATGTGAGGAACACTCTGGACTCTGCAATTTACTTCTTTTTGTTGTATTTCTATATATATTTACATAACAAGATGATAAATCAGGACTGTTAAGAATGGGTTAAGAAATATGATATATATTTCCTATCATGGCATTGTATTTTGTAATACCTACCCGGTTTGTTTATAAGTGAGAGTCAGAAATTATAGTGTACTTTGTTACTCAGGGATTCTATTATGTGAATAATGTTTTTACAGCTTTGCGGTGTTGAGGTGTTTGCATATCACTAACATAGAAGCTTGGGCTGAAATCTTAGCTCAGTGGTCTTGGATTGATACTGTTTCAAGACCTCAGTTTTCTTATTGACAAAAATCAGAGAGGCAGGTTCCTCCTGGTACAAAATGTGAGGACTCAGCATGACTTTGCATAAAAAGTATTTAGAATGCTTGAATTGCTGTTTAAGTTTTTGCTCCCACATTTATTACCATCACAACTGAAAGCTAACCAATTACGACTGAAACAGAATTAATCCTTTCAGAATTAGGCTTAAAAGATAGCATCTTTTCCTGCTTGAAGGTGTTTTAAAGCCAGATTTTGGATTAGACTTAGATGTTTTTAATTACAGAAAAGTCCACAGCATCTGAAGACATATTCCCCAGGAATAGTTATTTGTTGTTAAAGATATCCCACAAGCAGTTGTATAAGACAGGCAGGTGTGAGCCAGAGATTGCTTTCTTATTTCTGTGTATTAATTAATGTTTAAAACAATCTTTTAACAACAGGCTTACAATAGTAAATAAGGATTATCTTACTATTTTTTGCAATATGAACTGTCATTTATTAAAGTAGAATTTGATATATTTGTCACATATTTTTCAATTATTAGTAAGCTTGTTTAATCTTCAGATACCATGAATTGTATAATTAAAAATATAAATGAGATTGTTGGCTTAAAAGGATTTTCTCAGATCCTCCCCATTCTCTCATCATTAGATGTGAGAAAGGTGCAACTATGTAATAAGCAGATAAAATAGAACAAGATGTGAGGAATCTGACAATGTGACAGATATTCTGAGCAAAGTGTCACCTATGCTCAGCCAGGACTGTCACTGGGCACAGTGGCCTACACTGTTGGGTCATTGCTATGCAGTTTTTTGTATTTACTGTGAGTGATTTTCTTCTCTGTGTAAAGCTATTTTATAGCTAGGGATGTAGTTCATCCTACTATGCACAGAGCGCTGGATTCAAATCCACAGGACAGCATAAACCAGAGTAATTGGTAGTAAATACTTAGAAACTCATGTTCCAGGGGATTCGTCACCTTCTTCTGGACTCCAAGGGCATTGCGCGCATGTTAATGCACAGATATACATGCGGGCAGAACAGCATACCCATTAAATAAAAATAAATCTTTCATAAACAGCCACTTTATTTAGGATTAAGAAAAATAAGTAACTACTGAGGAAAACGAAACAATTATAGTGGAGAAATTGATTTCTTTTTAATATTTTTGAAGATGAATGTTTTCTCTAATGCTTGTTTTGCTTCATAATTTTAAAATATTAACAACTTTATTTTAAGTAGTATAAAATTATTATGAATATTAAGATATTATGATGTTTTTGTTCTTTGATAGTCTTCTGTTATTTCTTTTGTATAATGAGGAATTATTTTATGATCAGGGAAAGAAAATTTTTGTTTCGCTAAATGTTAAAAATATTTTGAGAGGCCAGTAAAATTGCTTAGTGTGTTGTCACCAAGTCTAATGACCTGAGTTAAATTCCCTAGATAAACATGGTGGGAGGAGAGAATGGACTTCTGAAAGTTGTTCTCTGAACACACATACAGACCCTGTTGTTACAATTATTTTGAATTTCATAAGCCAGTTTTTGTTAATATTACAAGTAACTAATAATGTCAGAATATCTCCCTATGAAGATACTTTATATAGGATTATGATTTCTGAAATATTTATTTCTGGTATTTTTTGTCCTCCCTCCCTCCCTCCCTCCCTCCCTCCCTCCCTGCCTGCCTGCCTGCCTGCCTGCCTGCCTGCCTGCCTGCCTGCCTGCCTTCCTTCCTTCCTTCCTTCCTTCCTTCCTTCCTTCCTTCCTTCCTGCCTTCCTGCCTTCCTGCCTTCCTGCCTTCCTGCCTTCCT